CTACAAGAATAATGAAGTCTTTACTTCATATTTACCTTCTACCATGCTAGCAGACTGAGTCCTTAAGAATTACAACAGAACATGGAGTAAGAAACCATGGTGACACTTAGTTTTTTGCCTGAAAGAGCAGATGGGGACATCAGCCAACATCAGCATGTCCCTGCAACCAACAGCAACAAGAGCCATGTTTCCACAGTTCTGCAGGTAGCAGAAGGGACAACACTCTAGCTGTTTTCTTGTCCAAGAGAATCAAAGGTCCAGGACGACTGGAGAAATGCATTGGCCAAACTTACTCAACCAAACAGCTGTCAGCACTTCTACATCTGTGTTCCCTGGTTTTCTGGTTTCTATGTCGCGTTTTGTTTCACTTATGCTATGGAAAAACAAGACAACAGCAACAAAAAAAAGGAAATCTAAAAGGAGTCAACTGGTAACAACAGAGGAGAAAGCAGCAGACCTTAACTTCAAGGATGCCAAACACAGCAGAAAAAACTATAGCTGCTATTTTCTTGGGCAGCTAAATTCGTGAAGTTGACAGCACAACAGTTGGAAGAGGACGACGTGCTCGTGACACCACTCACCTCCTCAGCTGTGCCGGGCACCGCTGCCCTCGGTGAACCCCACATTGCGGGGCGTTTCTCTCCGGCACCGCGATGTGTCCTGGCGCCGCAGCCCCGGGCACGCGCCAGCTGCTTGGCCGGCGCTCGCACCTCTCCCGTTGGGCGCTCTGCGGCTAACGCACACGGCCTGCGTTAAGGAACAACACGGCGTTGCGGGGGGTTTCTCTCCGGCACCGCGACGTCTCCTGGCGCCGCAGCCCCGAGTACGCACCAGCTGCTCGGCACTCGCACCTCTTCCATTGGGCGCTCTGCGGCTAACACACACGGCCTGCGTTAAGGAACAACACGAGTTTCTGAATTTTGAATTGCTCCCTGAGCTTAGCTTGGTGTTTGTGCGCCGTCAGCAGCTGCTTTTTGCCTGTAAATGCTAGGTGTAATCTGGAGACTGAAATACTGCACAGTGAGACCGCCTCACGCTCGCTCCTTTGGCACATGGCAGCCCAGAGGCTCCTCACATCTTTTTAGTGCCTTCAAGGCCAAGCACACACAGTCGAGGCTTCTCAGGTGTCTCCATTTAGACCTAGATATTTTATACTTCTCTTTACTTTAGAGGCCTATCAGAAGTGCCCCTCTCCCCCTCCATAAAGCAGTGCCCTCAAGAGCCATGTGACAACGTTACAGACCTCATGTGTCAAGCTCCATCACGCCGTCCTCTTCCGCAGCGCAGGGAACAGGAACTGCTGCCCATCGCCTCCAACAGCACCTCCAACACACGGCTCGGCCACCTGCGAGCAAGCAAACACTGCCAACTGAGCTGCACTTACAAGCATTTTCCTTCTAGTAGTCCTCAGTTGGCTACTTAAGGCACAATAAGGAGAATATGGAGAACATTTGCTCTCCAACATCCCAGTGGCAGTAAGCAGCCTAAACCTGTTGGTTTTCAGTAGAACACTTCCCTTTTGCAAGTAGAAAGTTTTTATTTTGCATTTAGTCTAAGCCTTTAATATAAGCTTTCTCATTATCTTATTTGAAATTCAATCCACAGAAAATAACATAGCAGCAAACTCACTGGTCCAATAACAAAAGAAGTTGAATTGCATAAGAACAGGGGCTGCAGAAGCGGCAGGTTTCACCACAGGGCTCCAGTGACGCCTAGGGGCTACCGAGGTGACAGGAGCTCTGTCGGACC